CTTTTAGAGAAATGCTCCAAGTCTGGTTCTAGTGTAGTTTTTCAAACTATTATTCCTAATGCTCAAAGCACATATATATTTGATTAAACAAGGATCGAGAAGTCATTTTTGATAGGTCGATAAAGATTTGTACTGGTGCATGTAACATTTTTTTTTATTGTTGCTGAATTCAATATCGTATGGTTGATATATGAGTTTTATAAGAGAAAAACTATCACATGAAAATAGATCTGTAGAATATGCAAGACTTAGACATGATTTGATATGCTCTTATACCAAAATTTTGATGATATCCAACCCTCTTTGTGATGTCGCATTTTCATTTTGAACATTGATACGTCAATGACCAATTTTTTATTAAAATACAGAGTGAGTTTGAAAACTTACGCTAGACAGCTATTGGCAAGTAGACTTCTATTTAATAGATGCTATGAACACGAACTCAGTTAAATTAGATTTGGTAAAGGCCATTTGATATTGTTTATCTGTTTGGCTTCTTGTTCTGATCATTCCTGTTCACATGTAAATAAGTATTCGATGATCAAATGTTTGACTACTCTGTTGCAGAGATGGGCAAGTCAGCTATTTTTTCACTCAAGTCAAGTCAAGTCATTGCTCAAAAAAAAATATCTTTAAGTCAAGTCAAGTCAAGTCATCAATTTGAGATACGCCATTGCAAGTCAAGTCAAGTCAAGTCTGTGTTCTAACCAAGTCAAGTCAAGTCAAGTCTCAAGTCATTGACTTGAATTTTTTTTTAAATTTCATAATTTAGTTATGTATTAATTTATTGAAAAAAACATTAAATCAATTCAGTTGTAATACAAGTTGTAATTGATCTAACCAGTTTAACACAATAGATCACGTATGATGCACGCTCAGCCGTATAATTGCTTATATACTTGCGAGTGTCGATGCCAGATAGTTTCTTTTGTGAGATCAAACAGACTAGACGAATAAACAATGAATTGAGAATTCATTGTTTATTCGTCTAGTCTGTTTAGGACCTTATTTTATACGCACAGGTCAAATATAACCTGACGAGAATCTAATATGCATTGAAGTTGCAAAGAATATCTGACTTGACTTGTATTTTTTTGTCAAGTCACAAGTCAAGTCAAGTCAAAAAATGAAAAATCAAAGTCAAGTCACGTCAAGTCGCAAGTCATTAAAAAAACCTTTCAAGTCAAGTCAAAGTCAAGTCGCAAGTCATTAAAAAATTTTTCAAGTCAAGTCAAGCAAGTCAAAAATGACTTGACTTGACTTTGACTTAAGTCATTTTTGACTTGACTTGCCCATCTCTGCTCTGTTGTATTTTTATCATTATGATAAGAATAAAACTTATGACTCTAGTGCTTATGTAAACTATGAGAAAGACATTGATCACCTTGAATCTACTGAGAAAATAACGATCCATTTGAAAAACACAATGACTGACAGTTATCCATGGAATAATCGATACAATTTTTTTTTGCATTTTAATTTCTTTCTTTTCTTCAAACAATGATACACAAACGCATAGATCTTTCAACCCCAAATACTTAGCTAACATCATGTAATCGCTTCATATACTCTATAGAATCGAACATATCTACCAAAATATTGTTTGATCAAGCTCTATCAGCGATAGTATGAGCCAGATCGCCGTAAACGAACCATATTTTCATAGAAATGATGACATAGGGAATAAAGAAACTCTATCTCTATTTTCATCCACAACATTATTTTTTCTATATTTTTTGTTGATCGAATATTCATCAGATAAAAAACAAAGATAGTCAGTCAGATGTATATACACGCAACTAACATTTATATAAATGCTTTCGCTCTGCAAGATAGTCTGAGAAAAAAGAATCAATCGGACTAGTCAGCTTATTCAGTGTTCCAGTCAAAGTTAATCTTAGTCCAGATATAAATTGCCACCTTAAACATATTTCGCATAGCACTTGATCTCTTCCTTGTTTGTTTATGTAAGTGTATTTCTGCTATTTGAAATAAAGACTAGACTTTCATAACATTTAAGATATAAACAGTAAGAAATAAATCCTATGATGCATTAATGTCATGTATGAAATCGATTTAGTCAGGTGTAAGTTTTTTTTCCTCTAAGAGAGGAAAAATTAAAATTTATCGTTCTTATTTTCAAAATAAGCTGAATTTTTTAAGAATTTATATCAAATTACAGATAATGAATTTTGAAATTTCGATTTTTTTTTTATCAAAATGAAAAATTTTTGCAAAGAAAAATAAATCATTAGAGAGCAACCATCGAATAATAAAACTATTATGTATTTGTTTTTTCTTGTTTCTAGGTTAAAAGTTATTAACAAAAATATGTCCGCGAATGATAATCAAACTCAAACTTTAAAAATACTAAAATTTCAATTATGAATTAAGCAGGAAAAAACCAAACAACGACGAATACAAGAAAAAGAAGCAACCAAACGAAAAAAAAACGTCAAAAAATAACAGAAGAATTATTTACCGAACAGATGAAACCAGAACTTGCACTATCATCATCATCAAAGAATAAGAATTCGGCACGAATGTCAAATTCTACATCAACAAACGCAAGCACGGCTAGTTCATGTTCCTCTACATCAGATTCTTCCGATGATACGGAAGAGTGTTAGTAATGTATGAGTTTCCAGACACAATTTGCTTGTGAAAATGTAAACTTCTCAATCACATATATTTACGTATTGATTTGCTCAATGTTTCATGTATCTCAACAGCATTTTTTTTGTTTCTTTATGCTATTACGCTCTCTCTCTAACATATTCTTCATTATATTTTTTTCTTGTACTTGAACTAACAGAATCTGTGAGATCTTAATAAAGATAAAATAAAAGATCATGTCATGTTGATTTTTACAATGGTTATGAAGATAATAAAGGTCAATTCGATATTGATTTCTTATTAAAAGAAAACAATCATTTTAACGAAACTTACTCATATTTCTATCGAAGATTAATGAAAGTGTTTCATCATATTCGAACACACAAACATGAAAAAAGAATATCAAAAATTTATTTGATCAACTAATAATGAATTTGTTAATGATATTAAATGATTCTATACCATTGAAATATTTAAGAGTTAGTTCATATAAGTCGCGGTCAACTTTCATAGAAGCTGTTCAAGTGTGATCGTCCGATTTTACTGAATTTAATGTATGTTGTCAAGAGACGAGTTATAAGAATTTTGACGCAAACAGTTGGAAAAATATTGTTCCATTATTAAGATATTTAAACTTTTCTGAGTGCACTATCGTCAAAAAAAGGACATTTTTGGTGATTTTTTCTGACATGAATATCTCATCAACGATACATACAATTGACTTGAAATTTTTACTGTGAGTAGATATCATGATTCTGTATTGCAAGAAACAAAATGAACTTACTATTGATAAGTTGCCCAATACTATCAGATACACGAGAAGATACTCATTTTTCTGTATTTTGTGCACATAACTATCTCATAAGTGGATCGTGTTAGAGAGTTGAAATTTTGGCTATAGAGTGATCTCATTGAGTACTTAGTCGACCAAAAAATTCTGCTCTCAATATAGTTCCTATCGTTTATGATACCCTCCAGAAAAATCATGATTTTGGAAGGATACGATCTGTCAAAATATAAAACGTATAGAAGTCGGGCTTATGTGGATTTAAAGCACCCACTAGTTGCTATGAAGTCATGCAAAAAATTGAGGTGGGATCTCAAAGAATGGTCTTAGAAGACCTATAGAAAAGTATCCAAGAATGTGCTTTTTTTTCTATAGGAATCGTACCCAAGTTCACCTAGAAAATACTCAAAGAGTTTCATCATATCAGATAAATTTTACCTAGTGTAAATAAACATACGATCCTTTATCTACTTTTCCGAAAATATCCTTTCAAATTGAAAAAAACGAATGTTTTTTGATAAAAGCCCGGCATCCTTCCCGTCAGGTTTGGCAAAATCATTGCTTAATGGTTCGGATCTTAGATCGACGTATACTTTCCTTATCAGTCACAGACCACTTATTCCAATTATTTCAATAATTGCAGTCATTATCAACAGATTGTGAGTGTGCGTGTAGGCCTTGATTGTTTCTTAAAGCACATCCATAAACGACCACACAATCATAATCATACCCTCCTGTCTCTTCAGGACCACTGTTTAACTGATTATCTAAGAATGGAATAGTTTGAATTCGAATATTTTGTTTTTTGTAAATAAGATAAAGCAAAAAATGAAGCATCGGCTTCATAGTAGTAAGACGTTTAATCACATTATAATTTGCTTTTCTTCATATATCGATTTTCGTTTTGCTCAAAGTAAAGGAATCTGATAGAGACAACAATAAAAATTGAATAGTTTCATTCTTTTCAAGAATTTTCTATATTAAATATAAGGGAAAAAATTCATATTCCTTGTTAACCCAAGCAATTCTTTTCTTTATGTATTAAGTCCAAAAGAAGAAAACACTTCTCGTTGAATTTATTTCATGATGAAAAAAATATGAAGTTCGTTAATTTATTTGAAAAATTGAATGTTGAATAATTCAATTCTAATTGTTCACAATAAATTCCGTATTGTGAACGTTTCTGTTCATAAAAATTGATGGCTTTATCAATATTTTCTAATAAAACTTTTGGTAAATGACGATGAAGAATTGACTTTAAATAAAAAATAAATTAAGTTAAATTTAAAAAAACTCCGACAATATCTTATTCGAATTTGTTCGCTATCAAATGGAACTAAAAATATATTTCTGTCGGATAAGGGTACTTGTAATAATAATACAAGAAGAATAATACCCGTTAAAATTAAATGAATTATATCATTTTGTATATTTAATGCTGAAACAAAATGATTCGATTTAGTTTTTTGTTTCTTTTGAAAAAAAAGACAATTTTATCTCACCAAAAGAATTAAAACGTTGTTTACTGAAATATATTGTAAGTTCATCAAAATCTTTTATATTAAATGATAATAAATTAGTAAAATCTGGACTTAAATCAAATGCTCCATTTTATTAATTGAATTCTTTTCAATTCATTAATCTTTGTTGAAGTCAAATCAATTGGTTTTAATTTATTAAATGTTGAAAAACCCTTAAAAATTGCTGATTCACTAGTAAAATTAACTTTGACATTTGTTATTTCACCTATAAGCTAAAAACGAAGAAAAATGTTGATTTGTTTGGTTTTTTTTAATTTTACAAACCATATATAATGAATTATTATTTGGTCGTCGATCATCAACACGTAAAGCACGACAATCTGAATCACTTTCGACATATGCAAGATATTGATCAATATCACTTTTATTAAGTGAATCTACTATAAATAGAAATTAACGAATGAGAGAACTAGTAAAACTTTAATCTGTTCTTTGCACTCATATTGATTCTTTTACTGAAAAATTAAATAATGAAAATCTGTCTAATGACTCTTCGTATAACTTAGGATATTGAATTTTCAAGTAGACTTGACTTTTGTGAGAGATAATTATTTCGCCAAAGGAAACATTGAATAGAGAATTTTTTTTTAGTTGTTCAAACCATTCTATGGATTTGAGTTAAATACATGAAATCATAGAAATGAAAAACGTTGTTCTTATATTTTTATCCAACTCTCAATTAAATTAACATTATATTTTGTAAGTCTATGTTTGCTACGAAAAACACGAATTGTAGCTGTTGTTTGATAAGCATAAGCATTTGTAAATATAGGATAAAATTTTGTTCAAAGTGGAATTGTTTGATTACGAGTGATAATTATGCACAAATCACCATTCACATCTTCAATACCTAAACTGAATGGTGTAATCTCAAGCAAAAATAGATCTTGTACATCAATTGTGTTATAACATGGCTTGGCAACCAATGCTTCACTAAAATATGGTCAAGTTTTTATAATTAGTTACTACAATAAATGACTATTATTTCAAAGTCATACGCAAATTGTCTCCTGAACTCTGCTGTGATAGAAGAATTCTTTATTGATGTTTTGACTGTCGATGTAATTATTGGTTTTCTTTCGTGTTCATCGTATCGTGTCTACAATAAGTGATAATTTATGCAGATTGTATAAGCCTAATTCAATCAATACATACGTCAGTAAACCGCATATTTTGCGATGCAGGTTCAGAGTAGTTATGTAAAGAAGTTGAAACTTATGCTGTCGTGTACTGCCTATGTCGGGGAATAGTTACGAGATTTGCTATTTTTTTCCTTTGACGAACTGAAGAAATTAGATGTAGCCGTCAAATTTTCTGATCGTTCATGATCTCTATCATGATCAATAGATGCACTTTGATCAATACATGAGAGCAATGTTTCTGATTTAGATTGGATTTTGTCAACATCTGGTAATGTTTATATGAAACTTTGTTGAGCAGCACAAACTAAAGACGCTGGATTTAACAGAGTCTTGTATGACAGAGCCTTAGATCCTTTAAATGTTTGACCAAAACTATTCGGCGAGATGAATCTTGATGAAACAGGTAGAGTCTGAGGAGTCACAAGCATCGGTTGACTGGAAGTCATTAGAGGCTTAGCATTACTAATGGTACTATTCGGAGGTCCATTAAATGAAAACAACGACTGTGACTGTAAGGATGTACCGCCAAACAATGCTGTTGTAGTTGTTGGAGGAGGTGGTAAAGTCGTATGAAACATCCTTGCATCTTCTAGACTAGATCGTTGTTGCATAGGAAAAGTATTGATATTGTTGCTAATAGCACTGCTTTGAAGAAAATCTGAATTATGAGGAAGAGGCGGTACTTGAGGCACAATAGGAAACACCGAAAATGGTGCTGCAAGAGGAGGAGATGGTGATGGTAGTAAAACAGCACCGGTTGCAGGAACAACGAAAGTTCGATGTCCTGTTGGATGATAAAGTTCTGAGTACATAGAATAGTAAGGGTCATTCATGCACCCGGAAGTGTTCGCAGAAGAAAATAGTGATGTTGTAGGAGAAGTAAAGCTGTAGGCGTTTATTTGCTGAGTTACAGGTGGAACTAATGTATCAGGTAACATACTAATTGAATGTGTTAAAACAGATGAATCTGGCTCTATACGAAGTTCTTGTTGATTTAAGGTCATGTTCATATCATATTGTACTTACTGCTCTTGTGGTAAAGTAAATAAATCATCTAATGTCGATTGCTGTTGTTCTTGTGACCGGCTAACTGAAGAAGAGTTCAGTATGCTAAATTTATCAGATGTGTCTGAAAAAGAGAGATAACAAATCATCAACAAGTTAAACAGTATTGTCAAAATATCTGCTGAAGATGGTAAACATAAAAATTTATCGACAATTATTTTATTTGATCATAACTCGCATGATTAGCTCCTTCCACTTTTTTCATCATGTTTGTGAAAATGTCGAGCTGTGTTCGAAAAGCTGTCTGTCGAATTTTTTACTCTTTTCATCTTTAACAACTATTGAGACTTCTGTATCTGAATAGAAAAAAGTCTTTCAGAAAATTCTTACCTGTTACGAATTCAATTACAGCACATAGATCATCCGTATCAGCAAGACTCAAACTTTTGTGGAATGCCATTTGCGGAGTGATTAGTGCTAAGTTTGAAGACGTTGCCTTTTCGATTGAACATTTGTCTACTTCGGGAATTGGTTTCAATGGTTTTATGAAGCTAGTACAAACACGTATTGTAGGTTTATAAAAAATAGATTCATCATCATCCTCTTTGTCTGCTACATCAGATTTGAATAGAGAATATTTTGTCTTTTGTAGAGCGATTTGTGGTAACTGTGGAGATGCGTTATATGCATTTATAGATTCCGTTATTCTAACAACTGTTTTTTTGTCTTCTCTACTGTCTATTTCAGAATATCCTATAGATTTGCCATCATTAAATAAAGAAAAACATAAATCACATTCATCACCTTTTTGCTTCTTTGCATCAGATACTAATACAGAAGTATTTGCCATTAAAGAATTAGCACGCATACACAACCATGGAGTGATCTTCAGCAAATTTTCTTCATTATTATTGAACATACAAAAAATTTATGTCATTCACATTTGTTTCTATCTCGAAATTTTCTTCTTTAGTTTCACTTAAGTCTATTAAACATTCATTGTCTTCTACAAAAACATATAAAACATGAAAGTATATTTAAAATCATGTTTAGATTAAAGTAAATTTATCTAATAGAAGATACTTACGATGAGAGATGTGGTCGCGTAATCCATACGATTCAAAGGCAGATTGTAAAGTTTTCCCAATCAACTTTTACAGATAATTTTAAAAATTTCCTATGTACTCTATAGAATCAACTTACTAAGTCGTCATAGACGGGGTAATACGCGTCCTTTTTCTTCTTCTGCTTCGATTCATCATCATCAGACAATGATTCTTCATAATATTCTTCACAAGTTGTATTTTGATGCTTTGAATCTTTTCTTAAAAATAATTGTAACAAACATAAATTTCATTTCATTTTCAACTTACAATTTTTTAGTTTTCATACGTATACTAATATCATTTAATCGTTCTTCTAATATTTTTCTTTCATCAGCTGTTGCATTATTTATTTCATTAGTTAAATCTATTAATATTCATTCAATACAAATAAAACATGTTTTCTTTTTGTTAAATAAAAATTTCATATTTACCTTCAACCATTATTTTCTTCTAATTCTCGAGCTATGTCATTTTCTTTAAATGTTATTCGATATATGTATCAATTATTTTTAACATTAAATCATATTTTGTATTACCACCAAAACGATATGATATATTTTAACAAAGATTTTTATATTCATTTACTAAATAAATTTTATTTATTATTGATGCACGCACTATTAAATAAAAGTTTAGCACTAATTAATTTCTCTTTAATTATATCAATTTGTGATTTATCCACCATTGCAATCAATAACATTGTTAAATAAAACATCAAGTAATCAAACACCTGATTCAAATGTTTGTCCATCATGTTCTTCAATAGCTACAAAAATTGTAAATGAACTTACAACAGAATATTTTATACTAAGTTCAATTAAATCTTGTTTATATTGTTTTTTTAATAAGTTCATTTTCACATTCATCATTATATAATAGATCATTTTCATAATCTTGAATAATAGCACGTGCTGTTAAACAATGTAAAATACGTCCTTTTGCTTCAGTTATTTTATTTCTAAATACATTTGTAACATATTCTTGATTATTTATTGTTGCTATTAATGTTGCTTTATGACAATTTTGTATAAAACGATATACAGTTAAACGCATACTATTAAATAATGATCGAATTATTTTTGGTGATTGATTAGTAAAATTTTCTTGTTGATTATCAATAGTAGCATACCAATCAATAGATATATTTGTTAGACATGGTTGATGAATATATTCAAGTATTTGAAGTACTTTTGTTTTCCACCTTGAACGATAATTTGAATCAAATATAGTTATTAAACCACCATCTTTTATTTCATTAGCTAATTGTCTTAAATTATGTTTATTTGATGTATCACCAATTGAACATGTAAATAAACGATCATAAAACGCATGGATAATTGATTTTCTAATAATGTTAATATAGATTTAAAATCATTTATATGTCCATCAGAAAGAAGAATAAATTGTCGACCAAGTTTAGATGATGATGATGATGATAAAAGAGAATATTGATGAAGTACAGAAAATAGATCAGTATTACAACGATGATTAATGTGAATACTATAATACATATTGTATTATGAGATGAGACAAAACAAAACAAAAAAAAAATTTCTATATATTCATTTAGATTATCAACCATTTCAAATTTTGGATAAAATGTTAACATACATGCTTGAGAATTTTCATCTACTAATTGATAACTTGTATTTGTATCAGATAAAGCATATGTTTCATTTAACATTCGTGGTAAATTAACATTTTTTTAATGTTATAGAAAGAATAAAATCTTTTTCAAGTAAAACATTATCAAAAAGTTCAATCATAGCAAGACAATCAGTTAATTTTCGACGAAGTCGATGTGTTGGTGAAAATAATTCTATTATTTCATATGGCATATGTATAGATGCTTTTAGACTGAATTCAACTAATTTCATTGAAGAATTATCTAGTTCAACATTAATTGATGGAAGTATTGTTTGATCTTTCATTTCTAAAACTTGTTTTGACTACCATAAAGCTATTTTAGCTGGCAAACGAAATATAATATCATTATTTTCAATAGATAATTCAGCAACATATGTTATTTTAATAATCACTTCACAATTAACTGGTAAATTACTAACAGATACACTAAGCATCATGACCTTGTTCAATAGCTTCATGATATTCACGTTTAGTTTGATCTTTTTCTTTAACTATACGTTGAATTATTTTATTATTATAATATGAGCTTCAAAATCACAAGCAGAAGAATTGTCATCAAGAGGAAATATATATTTTGCTTCAATAGGAATCAAACTTGTATTATGATAAACTTGATAAAGAACAACCTAAAAGAATTTATAAAGAATTTCATTTTTCTTTTTCAAAAAAGAAAACTCTTTTAATTTACTTCAGTATCGATTGAAATACTAAATTTAAATTGTTTTCTTTTATTAATTCGTATTCTTTTACAAGTGATCATAGTTATTGTTCATCTTTTAGAGATTAGTTGGATTCTTTTATTGATCTGATGAAATATTTTTATCTGTAGATATAAGTAAAAATTTACAATTTACATGATTCATGAGACTAGTAGAACAGATTCTGAACTAACTATATTCTCTGATATGTCGGTCTAAGAAGAAATTTTTTTGCCACAATTATGTTAATATCTTGATGGGTAAATATTGAAAATGTCTCAAAATTTGATTCTTTATTTACATAAAATAGAAAAAAATCATAAATAGAATTCAACTATCGTACAAAAATTATTCAGAACTGCAGTCTGGGTTACTAAAAATTAGACAAAAGCAATCTAGATTCAGTTTTCAAAATAAACCATGGAATCCTAACTGTAAAAATCAACAGATGGAGATTAAATTGTAAGTATATTTTGACAAAATTTTCCTATGAACTCGTTCATACACTAAAGACATCATGTATTCCAGCATTTAAGTAAAATAACATTATACATATATACTGAAACATTTTATCTCAAAAATGAAGATTTCTCTACATGGATGTAGAACTATTTGTTTCTATCTGATGCTTTTGAAACTACCAAACTCTTTCTGTCAATAGTAGTATAAGAATTATTAGTGATTTGGTTCGAAAAAAAAACCACTTACCTTCATTTGACAACGATTTTGATTGATTTATTAAAGGATCACGAATAATAGGTAATAATATTGGTGATTGACCCATCTTATCATGTGGTAGCCATGAAAGTTCAACAATATAGAGTAATCGTTGTTGATCAAGATTATAATTAACATATTCATCATCCTAAATAAACATAATCATAGAAAACTAATTAAAATATCTATTTATTCTCACAGTAAACTTTGAATTGTTTTCATCATTTTTCTTTACACCATGTGAACTATGAAAATTCTCAGATGGTTGAATTAAATTTGGTGCATATGAATAGAATTTTGCTGAGTTTCCTAATGCTACTTGACAAATACATAATAACCGTCGACCAGGACGTGTTATACTTGGTGTTGTATATTTTAATGATGTTGAAGCTGAATCAGAAAAATAAAGTCCATATCCTAAGCATCCAATATCAGTACGTTCAATTTCTAAATCATCAACAACTATTTTTGGTACAAGAAGACCACTAAAACAAGAAAAAGTTTGTTGTTGTTCGATTAATTTACCGTGATAAAATACCAAGAAAATTAATATATTTTGATCCATGAAAAAGTTGTTTTTGATTAAAAAGTGTTGAACGAAAATTAAGTATATCTGTTTGTTTAGCTATACTATATATGTGATGAATAATTACTAGTTCATTTCTGTAAAAAAAAAAAAAAAAAAGTACAAAAATTTTTATTTTATTAAATAATAAAAACAAATACAAACGGATTCGTTGATGAAGAAATCATATTACTAATCTTTGCATATTCATGTGTATTATTTGTTATCGTTTCTATATGACATTTTAATGCTCGATATTTTGCTTCGATTGATGCTTCTTTTATATTCCAATTTGTTAATTCATTTACAGTAACCATATCACGTAGCATGTTAATTTTAAAAAAAGGATTACAAAAAGAAATGAAAAAATATTCTACCTGACATAAATCTAATTTATCAGTTAATGCACGACGATTATTTATAAGATCGATAACAAATAATTTCTGATGAGGAATATATGAATAGAAACGAGTTTCAGCTTCTGATCATGATTTACTATCAACTTTAATTTCAAGTAAAGCAACTTCGGCTTCAATAATCTAATAAAAACAAAACAATCCATAAAATTTCTTGATCTATGTTTCTTCATACTGTTTTAGGAGCAATTGTTTCTGGTTGTACAGAAAGTATTTTATTTAAATCACCAATTGATTCAATCCAAAATGATTCAATTAATTGACCAACATTATTATCAAGCATTTGTGTATCAATACGATGAAAAAATAATGACTAAAAAATTAATTCGGATGATTTAAAAAAAAAAAAGGGAACAAATTTATGTTTATCTTACACGTAATAATAATTTAGAAGCTAATTTATCAGGTAATAAATCTCGAATTCGTGTTATTCGTGGCATTGTTGCAATACGATAATAATATGAAGCAAATAATTGATATAATTCATTAATATCATTACTAAATGCATATTGAATTAATGATGTTTTACCTTTTGAATTTATTATTGTTTCTTTTTCATAACGAAATCTTAATCGATAATCATTATTTGCTTGATTATTATATTCTTCAGGAATAATTTGCAGTTCTAGAGCAAAATAAACACCAGAATTTTCATTTGTTTCCTATTTTACAAAAGAATAAATTAATATGAAATTTATTTTCAAACAAATATTTACTTTGAATATTGCCCATTTACCAATTTCAGCATGTGTTAATTCATTAAATTGTGGTAGTTCAAAATCATCAGAATACCAAATTAAAATTATTTGATAAATCTAATTGAACAGATTTCGTTGTGCTACCTGAAAGATTTCCTCCACCTATGAAAAAAAGAGTACAATGTAAATCTTTTCTATTTCGATCAAATCAGTTTATTAAACCTGTCACAGATATAGTACCACTTTTTGAAAAATTTTCTTTATCTTCTGCTGACGTTACAATAAATCTTTTAATATCAATAACTTGAGTTTCATTGAATAATTTACGATATTCATAACTATATTCAATAGTTACTAATGGTATACCAAGCTGTTTAGCTCGACGAGTTTTATAGGTATCAATATCAGTGGAAACCAAAACATAATCAGTCTAGAGAAAAATTCATTTAATTATATTTATATATGAAATCATTTAACACCTACACTAGCTGTTAAAATATATGAAATATGAGCATTTTGTTCATACAAATAATTAATAAGTTCTTGTTTAGCTTTGAAACGAATGTCTCGACCAAGCTCGAGTACAAAGGTTTTACCACTTAATGGTGACATAGATGAATGATACTGTCAGCAAATGAAGACTGAAAAATAGTGAAAAGTGAACGTGTCTTTCATTTTTTATCAACGATTAGGAAAAAAAAACAAAAGTTTACGTGTAATATTCAATGACTCACACGTTATACGATACCATCTGCCAAAAGAGAAAGAGAAGAAAAGACAAAAATTATTCAACTATTAAGTGTGCTGCTATTTTTTCTTTTACAATACCGATCTCCTTTGAGTTTTGGCTTACATGAATTTCGGTCGAAAGAATTTTCGACTCAGTACGAAATTCTAGTAATCTATCGGTCCAAATTTGAAAATCGTTATAGAACTTCTGACCTCAGCTCAAACTTCTTACATTAGCTTCTCGAAAAAAACCAGATATTCTATAAAAATTTGCTGCATTTCGTAGAACTTGGCGGCATATATTCTCAATAAAACGTAGTGTCTGACAAGATGGTATAATGCTGAGTAGTCTGCTTTGATTCTATCAGAAGTGGTGTGATCTTTTAAGATAATTATTACTTGTAGGTGTATATTTTCTAATCATTCACACCCTAAATGCGTGCTGTTGATAAGTACTTCTTAATGATAAAGGATACCACTAAGCACTATAAAAATATATCAAGTCTTTATAGAAAAAAAAAACTTTTTATAACGATTGATGAGAAGAATTTGGGCGCGATTCGAAAATGTCTTGGACTGAAATTGTAAGTTACAATAAATTGAGCAGATTGTTTTTCTTATTCATTCGATGCTCATTCTTAATTTATATATTGTTATAAAACAAATGTTAAACAATAGAGTAACTCAAGTCATTAGGGTGCGATCTTAAGAGACGTTCCACGAGAAAATCGAACATTTTTCAATAGGGC